CCTCCATCTGCCCGCCCCCCCCCACCCTGCCCGCATATTGCCATCGCTCCAACCATCAAGTCACGCGGTCGGTTCCCTCTTTGCTCATTACCGCTCCCTCAGGCCCCTTCCAAGCCGCCTCTTCAAGAAATTGTACAGATTCCCGAAGCATCATCACATGAGCCAGCATGGTTCAAGTCTCCTTCCTTTATCGTGAGTACCACTAGTCCCACAGCCAGGACTGTCTTGATCCTCTGTCCCTCGTGCCATCTAGCTTACCGCTCCCACACCCGTCCTCTTGACGTCACAGCTTCTCCTTCGGCCATTCCTTCACGTCTATTGGCCAATCGGTGGCCAGGCACGAGCAGCTTGGACTCATCGGCAACCACCTCGCAAGAAGTCACGATGGTCTTTTTATTCGTCATCTCCTTCGTGGGAGCCTACCATCTCACTCTTCTCTCCTTCTCCTTCGCACGCTTCATCCTCAGCACCTTTCTCCTTCCCGGCGTCAGTCTGAGAAAGTACAAGGCTGTCACGGGCAAGGGTAACCCTGACGCCGGTGCTGGTGCTGCGGACTCTTCTTGGGCAATCGTAACCGGCGCTTCTGATGGCATTGGTGCGGAATTCGCCAAACAGCTGGCGAAGAAGGGCTTCAATGTGGTCTTGGCTAGCAGGACGGAGTCCAAGCTGCGCTCACTGGCCAGCGAGATCGGTGAGTCTAGGTCGATCGAAGAGGTCTCGGTACGTGGTCGAGGGGAGGGCAGAGTGGGTGCTGCTAGGAGGGAGCAAACACGCTGAACCGCAGTGGACACATTTGGCGCACGTCCCTGAACCATAGAAGATCAAAGGCTGACCAACTGTTCCTGCGCGTGCTCTCCCACAGCTGCATCGTCTCCTTCTGTCGAGACCAAAGTGGTGGCCATCGACTTTGCCACTGCTGGCCCAAAGGCTGAGAAGGGATGGGCCGACCTCAAGAGTGCAGTGGAGGGTCTCGACGTTGGTGTGCTTGGTGAGCCTTAACCTACACGCCGGTGCCAATTTCGGTACTCTGGCGCACGTCCATGGACGCTGACGCTGGACCCTTTGTACCCACCTGTCGCGCTCAGTCAACAACGTTGGCGTGTCCCACTCGATGCCGGTGCCATTCGCGGAGACCTCGGATGGCGAGATCGACTCGATTGTCAATGTCAATATCTCATCTTTGCTCAAGGTCACAAAACTGGTCTTGCCTGGCATGCAAAAAAGGTGAGCCGTGTCGAAAGTGAGCACTCATCTCGACGGCAGCTTATGCAAATAACGTCCTGCTGTACAGACGAAGAGGACTCATTCTCAATCTTGGCAGCTTTGCAGGCCAATACCCTACACCTCTGCTTGCCACCTACTCAGGTTCCAAGTCCTTCCTGATTTCCTGGTCTCAAGCTCTTGGAGCTGAGCAACAAGGACTGCGGACAGGAGTAGACGTCGTCGCTCTTAACACATACTTTGTGGTGAGCGCCATGTCCAAGATCCGCAAGTCTAGCTTCTTGGTCCCCACTCCAAAGCAATACGTTTCGAGCGTGCTCAGCAAAGTCGGAAACAGTGGAGGGGCTGGCGGTCGACCTTTCAGCGCCACACTTTGGCCAGCTCACGCCATGGTCGATTGGGCACTCGCCAATTTGCTCCCAAGCGAAGGCTGGCTTTTAGACTACTCCTTTGGCCAGTCCTTGTCCACTCGGAAAAGAGCGCTCCGCAAAGCTGAACGCGAGAGCAAGGCTCAGTAGATCCCGTAACAGATTTTACAGGAGCTTCACAAACGCTCGATGGGTCCGGGGCTGAGCCCCGGCCTCGATCGCATTGACTGGCGCATGATGAGGCAGCCACCTTCCGATGGAGCCTATCATTCGGAGCACCGCATCCCCTTGCTCGCCACTCGTGTTACCTTTTCACCCCGTAATCTTGCCAAGCAACCCTAAACGTCACCGTTAGTCTTCTTCGCTTCCGAGAATCCGCCCATATGTGAAATACAAGGTGATCGCTGCAAGTCAAGTTGCGCAACTGTGTGTTTCGCTTGATTTCTGGGAAAGTCCAAGCTCAAAATCCTGCAGTGTGGCGGATGTGCGATTGCCGGGACGATGAGCCCTACATTGACCTTGCGACCGCGCACTATATCTAGCGAGTGAGATGCGATCCGCACACCATCGCAATGGCCCTTGCCTTCTCGCGCACACCTTCAACGATACTTGGATGGTAGTGCCAGCGTGCACCGCAGCGCGTCGTTGCAAGGCAAAGCATCCCCTTTGAATCGTTCGGCCCACAAGCGAGACTGAATGAATGGGCACGTAATGGCATTGCAACGTGGTGCGTGACCGGTGCTCTGCTCCTGCTTTTGCGCCGCGGTGCGAGTCTGCCTCTAAGCGATGTGCGCAGCTTTGTTCTAGGCTGATAGGGATGCGATGAACTCCTGCGAGATAGATGGAAGACAAAGAAGGGACGAAGATGAGTAGGGGTTAGCGATGCGCTTTCTGGGTGGAGCCGCTGCAGCGGGCAGTGCCTTTGTCATCAGGATCGACCAAAAAGCTGCCCCTGACCCAACAGTCCCGCCGAGGCTCTCCTTCTGGCTTCTCTGGAAGCGCTGCTCGTGAAAAGCGCTCCTGATAGCTCACCTTTTCTGCTTTGGCCACCGCTCGCTTGAACGCAGATGCTTCGTCAGCGCATTCCAATGATGTCGACTGATGTTCTCTGTAGATGAATGCCAAGCTCGAGCCCGTCAGTAGAGCAGCAGCGCGATAGCTCGTAGAGTAGACTTTGCCTTGGCACCTTTGCATCGCTAGCGCAGATCACATCTCTCGAAGTTGACCAACTCACTTGAGGCACTGCAGCACCTTATTTCTAGCTTGTTGCACGCTCTTGTCCTGATCCACCTTTTCCCTCCTGATCCTATGTCTATCGATCTTTGTTCTAATTTCTTCCAACTCCTGTTTCAAAGTGATGCTATCCTTCGTCCTCGCGTCCCTCTTTTCTTGCGTTCCGGATTCCCTCTCTAAAGCAGCCTCGATCTCTGATCTGACGCTAGCTTCGCTCTTTTTCAACGCGGCTAGTTCGGATGAAATCTTGTGTTGGATAGAGGCGTCTAGGTGTTGTTGACGCGCTGCAGAGATGGGAGAGGGAGAAGCTGGCAGAGCAACTGAACCTGGTTTGGATGAGGCCACCTTTTCGTCCAAGGCGTTCAAGGACGCTGTGGATGCCTGGCCGCGCGCGCATTGATTCGAATGAAGCTTAGCCGTCAGCCATTCGTCCCTCTCACTCTTCCCGCCATCCCCTTGCCAGCCGGACGAGATGGGCGTACATGCACTCACAGAGAGGTCTGGGCTCCGAGATGATTTCGAAGAAGACGCGCCCATCTTGGCCCGAGATTCGAGAAGTGGTGCGGGCCAGTGCCGGGCTGCCACTTGCTGTGTGGTATCAGGAGCACAAGCAGTACAGCACGTTCACACTGCACTTGGGACGTGCAAGCACGGGATTGTGCCGATGCTGCTGGCTGGATGCGGAAGGTAGGAGCGAAGAGAGGCCTGATCGATCGCTTTGTCACCGATGCGCGTCTGCTCGATCTTTTGAAGACGCTAGATCGAGCGCTATCGCTCCTCTGTGCGCTACGTATGAGAGCTGCTTCGAAGGTCCGCAAGCAAGAATGGCAAGTGCGAGAGAGTTGATGGACGATTGCAGGCTCGTGAGTTGCAAATCAATGATGAAAGTGCATCTTCTCCACGCATGGCCCCGGCTGTGCAGTCTTGAGTCAAGCATCGGCGCCGAGCGGAAGCGGAGGGCAGGGACGTTGCGCACCTTCGATCGATCTTCCAGGAATGTCACCCACGTGGCCTCGGTCTATGCAACGCGCTACGCATCGCGCGTGTAGTGTGATGTCTGGCTGCTCAACGCCAGTCGCTCGCGACTCCATATCCGCCTGCAGGAGCTTATAAACGCTCAACGGTCGACCCGCATTCACATTGTGATTCCTCCAGTGAGGTTTGGAGGCCGCATGGCCGTGGCTGGAGGCGGAACAAGGATCAGACATGACAACATCTTCTACCGCGGCGGCTAAGCTAGCAACGGGCAGCGCCAAGACACCAGCAGCAGCAGCTTGGGCAAGCGTCACGGCATGGCCCGTTGGTCGAATCAGCGAAAAGACGCCGATACATTAACATTGCAACTCCTCCTCCAAACGGAGCACTGAATTTGGAGGTGTGGACGCGTAGCAGTTGCTGAGTGCCTATACTTGAGCTCGGAGCGGTCTTGTAGTGAGTGCCAGCAGAAGTCCCTTGCTCGATCTTCCCGGTTGCGTTCCATCTTCGGAAGCAATCGAGCGCCACCGTTCCTGGCAAGGCCTTTTGGTCAATTCGGACAGAGCAAGTGTCCATAGGACGTCAAAGAGTAGGGGGGCTCCCACAGACGAGATGCTTTTCTCCGCTTGGCAAGGGCAAGAGGCGAGGCGAGGCGGTGCTTGGTCATTCCGCTGATGCGCGGCGACGATGGAGGGAGCGCGATCGAGGAATGACTGCCGCGCGCTAGACGGCTCCGCTGGCGTCCGAGTGAATCAC